TATTTATTAATTGGGACAAGCAGCCTGGGCCAACTAAATTAGAAAAATAAATTTACTTAAAAAAATACAAAAACTTTAAATTTTTTATTTTACATATAAAAATAAAATAAGATATATTTTTTAAGAAAATTAACCGCAGTCAAAAATTAATAGGTCAAATATCGTAATTTGGATTTAAAAATTTGAATTTTTTAATTTCAAATTTAATTGTTCTTCTTTCAGCTTTATATATTTTTCTAAACACTTTTTAAAAAGCACAACTTTTTTATTTTGAGTTTTTGCTCCTTGTTTAAATTTATTGCATAATCTATGCATATGCATAATCTCCTTCCATTGCCTCCTAATATAGTTTTAACTGTCGAGGTCTTTTTTGTTCTTTTTCTCTTTGTTGCTTTTGGGTTACCATTTAATTTTTATTTATTATATATTATGTGTTCTTATAAAATTATCTTACCTTATTTTATTCCTCAACTAGTTTACATTTTATACTCTTTATGTTATATTATATGCTGGTACACAAATGATAAACCGACATATAAAAATATAGCTTATGTTTGATCGTAAGTACCTATAGGTACCTATAAAACATATAGGTTATGTTTGATTGTAAGTACCTATATGGGTCAATCTTGCAATAGGGGAAATTTTATGTCCCTGACTTGCCATGCTCAGTCAAGTGCATGTTCACCATTTTTTATTTTATATTTATTTAGGGGTTTATTGACCCTATTCATACACCTATTAACTTAATAATAAAATAAAACCAATTCGATACATTTTCCCTTTAATTACATAAATTGTCATTAGCGTGGATGTCCCTGGATATCCTTTCACCAGAATATTTTTTTTTTGCAAATTATGAAACTGTCCATAAATACTCTAGCATTAGTATATTATAGACAACACTTTTTAAGATATGTTAAGCGGGATTGAGACAAAAAAATAAAATTGAATTGAAAAAAAAACATTTCTTAAATGTGTCCCTGAGTTTGACATCATTAGCGTGGATTATAATGATACGTATTTAAAATTCCCGCTTACTTTAAATTTTCCAGTTAGCGACCGTTATTATAAACATTTTGGTATACGCTATTTACTTGATTTGGCGCCAAACGCGAACAGTTGCACAGTGAACTATGAAGTGTAAAGTTGTTATGTGTTTCATGGGCGTATGTTTAATGTGCATCATTGGAGTGCTAGTGACAATTTTGTTTATCTAAAAGCAATTAGAAAAATATTGACAATAATTAATGAGCAGTGAGAACTACAAAAGGTATGCATAATTTAAATTAAATTCATTAATCCATTTGCTGTCCAAAGAACCTTAACCTTAATTTAGTCATTGGCGTGGATATTTACTTGCATCATTGGCGTGGACTTTTTTGTCCACGCTAATGACGGACTATCCACGCCAATGATATTTTGTACGAATAATGATAATAAGATATTTTTTATCTAAAATCGGCAGTAAAGTAGTCAACAATCGACAGTAAAGTAAAAGAAATCGGCAGTAAAGTAGAACTTTAGTACCGATTTAATACGAGCATTGTATGAAAACCATTACTGCTCCTTAGCAGCAACTAAATAATATTTTAAAAAAAGCACCTTCGCGGAGATCAATGGGAACCTTTCATAAAATGTTTAAAAAAATAATAATAAGTTAATTTTATGAATTAAATTAAAAAATCGCCGCGGCGGGCAAATATATCATAACCCAAAGATAATATATAATATAATAATATAATATAATAATATAATATAATAATATATAATATAATATAAGATAATATATTATCTTTGTCATAACCATCGCAACAAACAGTATACCATGGACACTACATTCAAATGACATTCGATTCAAATTTTAATGCAGAAGGTGTCTACTGTTTAAAAAGGTAAATAATTTATAATTATTAAATGCGATTTCGGATAAAATTAATTTAATATCGTTACCCTAATTCGCAAAAGACGTAAGTCCACTTTTGAAAAACCGGGTTTTAGTGCCATCTCCTGTTCATGAACCTGCAGGTTTAATATCTACATAAACCGGCAAGTATGCTATAGCATTACATTTACAATGGGTAGCTGCAATTTACAGAGACATGGTATCCAGGTATGTCTCCTTTTTTTTAATTAATATCGAGCACTGAGGTAAATTATTTTTAGGAATAATTGAGGATATAAATGGAGAAAACATAACTATTACCTTTATGGCAAGAAGTGGTAAATATTTTTATTGGCCTGGATCAACTGATCGACAAATCTTTACAGAAGCTGGTATATTATGTAAACATGATTTGCCACCAAAGCCAATTTCAAATAGATTTTTTAAAGTACCAAAGTTCGAGGAAATTGATAAAATATGCTTAATTCATTAATTTTTTTTGTAACCAATGTTTACTTATAAATAAATATTAAATATTAAAAATATATTTTGTATCATCATTCAATGAAAACTGTCATTAGCGTGCCTCTTAGTCATTGGCGTGGATATGGATTTTTGAAAAAGCCCCAAAATTAAAAATTGAGCTCAACAGACTCATCATTTCATAAACTTTATTCATTTCTTATAAAACAGTAGTTTTTCAAAATTTTCTGTAACTGTTTTTTTTTTTAAATTTCTTATACTCAAGATTGCTCCTATTATAAGAATATCCCATATATAGGTTATGTTTGATCGTAACTACCTAGGTATAGGTACCTATAGTACCTATAGTACCTATGTATACATAGTCGTGAAGATGCAACTACTTAGTTTGTTTATACCGCTTTAAATTAAACATTTACAGACAACATCCCAGAATTGACTCTTTTACGATTCTAGATTTTGGTTACAAATCATCGTAAGCTATAGATTTACGAATTAACAGACATTTTACGAGGGAAGTTCCCTCAGGGAACCCATGAGTTTCTTTAGAATGACCTAATATATTTAAGGATTTTTTAGCTAGAATTATACAGGGTGTCCGGGAAAAGCAAGTCAATCCGTTAACCATATATTCTTTGAGTTAAAACTTAAGACTTTCATAATACCATTTTTCAATTTAGAGCTTCATGTTCGATATACAGGGCGACAAAGTTTGAAATTTAAAACTGATTTTTTTTAATAATTCGAGTAATTGATAAGATATTAAGTTCAAATTCGGTACACTACTTCAACATAAATAGTTACATTTTGTGAGACTAACAAAACAAAAAACAATTGTCAAATTATCAAAATAGGGGGGTTCCAGTACTCACTGACTCCCCCTATTTTTAGTACGTGCGCCAATGACTTCCAAACGGTATTTTTTCAGGTAATAATTTATTGTTAAAAAAAATATGTCTATAATAATTTTTGGTAAATTTGTTTACCTCACTAAAAAACTCAAAAATCCCATATATGAATTTTTTTCCATGGGTGGTTTTTGTTTCATTGATTTTTGAAAATCAAAAAATTTCGATAAATTTGGGTTTTGCAAGTACTTACAAAAATAGCGATATCTCGTAAACTATTAAAAGTAGAAATGTGAGTGATGGCTTATTTTAAAGGCCTATTAGAGACCTTTTTATGATATATCACATGACCTAAATTTTTTCAAAAAAAAAATTAAATTTCAAAAATTTTATATGGATTGACCCATACTTTACAAATTATCTCTAAAACAAATAATTTTATCAAAATTTTATAGGAGACAAAAAATTTTCAACAATAAATGATTATCTAAAAAAATACCGTTTGGAAGTCATTGGCGCACGTACTAAAAAATAGGGGGAGTCAGTGAGTACTGGACCCCCCTATTTTGATTATTTGACAATTTTTTTTTGTTTTGTTGGTCTCAAAAAATGTAAATATTTATGTTGAAGTAGTGTACCGAATTTAAACTTAATCTTATCAATTAGTTGAATTAATCTTATCAATTAGTTGAATTATTAAAAAAAATCAGTTTTAAATTTCAAACTTTGTCGCCCTGTATATCGAACATGAAGCTCTAAATTGAAAAATGGTATTATGAAAGTCTTATTGTTTTAACTCATGAATATATGGTTAACGGATTGACCTCCTTTTCCCGGACACCCTGTAGCGCACCTAAACAAAAACAAGTTTTGTTTTTGTTTAGGGGAGCGCAGCTATCTCGCGGGAGCGGCAATCTCACTTTGCGCTCGAATTACACACAGGATTTTTTCTACAACAGGTGTTTCTATAAGAATGTTTCGTAAAAATTGATAATTATTGATAACCTCAAAATTGACGTTTGTGTCAAAAGTCGCAAATACACTAAACGTTTCTTTATTATGGTTTCCATGGTAACTAAGCGAGCGACAAAGTAACTTTGTCGCTCGGCGAGCGACAAAGTAAAAAAATGCTCGCTCTTTGGCGCTTTTTTTTAAACGAGCAAATTTGTACTTTTCTCTTGGTTGTAGAAAAAAGTATTTTACATTCGCTGTCGCTCATAAACGAATGCATTTCGCAATCTAGCGTCAAAAATAACTATTTATGACTATAGTCTAAAGTATACTTAAAAAGTTAAATACCACGACAAAAAATGGAAATTTTTTGTTTACACGGTCATTCAGGATTTAGTTGTGGTTCAACTTTTAATAGGATTTCAATTTTAAAGCTTTGTATTTACTAACCGAAAACAAAAATTTTATATCAATATTAATTTAATTCGAAATTGCCAATTGATATTAATATATATATATATATATATATATATATATATATATATAATTATTTTTACATTAAAAAATAAACTTACATTATTATTAAGTACATTAAAAAATAAACTTACCATATATTATTAATTTAAAATTTATAAATTAAAAAATTAATCAAAAAAACTATATTGCGAAATATTATTTATTTATATTTGCAAAATCATTGCTCGACTTTTTTGTATCATACGTGCAAATGTCCTGAAGCCCGACAAACCGGTAGATACAAGTGAAAGTAGTCCAAGATCCAAGATCGCCACTCTATGTATTATGCTTAGGTACATTTCCTCGTCGAAAAATAAGATTTTTTCTTTTAGTTTGCTGACCACATCTGCAGCGTGCAATTCTTTTACTAGTAGGCAGCTGAAAAATGTTTTTTAAAGGTGTTTTGGTGCTCACGGTGCTCGTTATTGGTACCACAGGGTTTCCAGACGGTGCTCCAGTAGATGCTTGCGTCAAGTCCAGGCCCAACCAGCCCAACCATGGTCAAGCCAGACCACAACCTGCAGAAACCAACCCCTTCCAAGTCGTTCAATCACAAGTTGAATATGGACCTGGAAGCCAAATTACTGGTAACAATTATTTTATTTGTTTATAAGTGTAATTCTTACAAAAATTAAGCATATAAAATTTTTTTGTAGTATTACTTTAAATAACAATAAAATAATTTTTTTTATTTAATAATATTTTTATCGGCATTTTTGGTAAAAATTTACCCATATAAATATATTATTATTAATAATTAGGGATGGGATTTTAGTTATTTTACCTTTTTTCAACCGATGTAACTATGCCAAAATGTGTTTTAAAAGATTTTCTTTTATATGAACCTAACTTGTTTTCACCTTTTTTACCTTTTTTAGAGGTTTTTGCTTTAAACTACCTTTTTTATACTTTTCTTGCCTATTTTTTTAACTAGTTTTCACCTTTTTTACCTTTTTTGGAGGTTTTTGCTTTAAACTACCTTTTTATACTTTTGTTACATATTTTCACCTTTTTTACCTTTTTTAGAGGTTTTTACTTTAAACTACCTTTTTTATACTTTTCTTGCCTATTTTTTTAACTAGTTTTCACCTTTTTACCTTTTTTGGAGGTTTTTGCTTTAAACTACCTTTTTATACTTTTGTTACATATTTTTAAATTTGTCAGTTTATTTTCACATATTTGTTATCTATTTTTACGTATTTTTACTTATTTTATTTTTTTGTGTTCTTTTTAAATTTTCCGCCAATATTTTATCCAGGACGTGCAACTCAACGGTATAGAATTTTTTCTTATGGTCACAGCATAGAAATTATTCTATTATTCTAAATTATTTCTATGGGTCACAGACTGTAACAGTAACCTTCTTTACAGTATTTCTTTGTATTGAGCTTATGTTCTGTCATAGAATTTCTGTGTAATGAGTGTCACTCAGTGAAACACAGTTTATTGCATAGAAATAGTTTATTGTGGGTATGTTCTGTGTTTGGGTATGCGGCTAAACAAAATTATAAAAGAAACTTGAACTTTTAATGTGTTTTTTTACCTAAAATGCTGTTTTTTTAACCTAAAATGCTTTTTTTAGGGCCTTTTTAGTTACCTATTTTTCAGTTTTTAGTACCTAAATATCTCATCCCTATTAATTATACTATTTTTCCCAATACCATTGCCAAAGAGTCGGCTTTTCTGTTGGCATTTAAATATTTTTTTGCACCACTACTTTTGCACTGAATTTAAATTAGCACAAAATACTTTCTAAATTAAATAATTTTTATTCAAGAAAACAATTAATATAATTTTTATTGTTATTTAATAAATTTAAAAAAAAAATTATATTGCACGAAAATCAAACATAAAGCTACTTTTTTACACCATAAAGTTTTATAACTCGCCTAAGACTCGTTATGAAAATTGCTCATACGTGCAATAAAATGTTGTTTTATATTATTGTTGCATACATTTTTTAGAACGAACACAAAAATTAAATAATTTTCAAAAATAAATATAATCTGACATCTTTCAGACAGTTCCAACCTTGCTTTCTAATCGCTTAATTTTGACGATTGTATGAGATTTGACAACTGCAACTAACTTTAGCCCGTGACTAAAACGTAAAAAGTCACAGCTTGTTAATTTAGCGTCATGAAAACACATACTGATAATGTGTGTTTTTGAGGTGAAAATAGAAAAACAGGTGTTTCATCTAACAATTTCCTTGTGAATATCCATCTGCAAAAATACATTTCCCTTTTTTATTTTTATCTGAATTAAAAATAAAATAAAACTCATAACTGTTATTTAAAAACTTTATTGGTTTAAAACATGATTATTAAATGTTGTAAATAAATAATTTAAAAAATCAAAACCTATTTTTTTAATTTCAACAGTAATAATAATTAATATAATATAAACACTGTTAAAAATTGATACTCATATGATCATCCTATAATTTGTTTACATACATACATTTTTGGTTGTTTTTTTTTTGATTTAAGGCTTCAATCTTTTGATGTTTTTCAAAACATTAACTCCCACATTAAAATCTGCGACATTATGAGGTTTTAGTTACAGGCTAAAATTAGCAAAAGTGACAAATGTCAGATTTCAAATGTTTAACAAAAACAATTGGCTTTAAATTCTTCTTTGTTTTTGTTGTATACAATAAAGTATAGTATGAAATTCGTTTTATAAACTTCTCTAGACAATCGTTTTTATTAAACACTCGCTCGGAAGCTTTGCTCGTATCTAAATAATATAACTCGTGACTTAAAATGGCCTTTATAAAACTTAATACATAATATACTTTTTCTACTCCTATTATGGAATATGTCCTTTCTAATATCAATTTTTAATGTGGATTGACACCAGTGTTTATTCCGTCATCCGATGATAGAATAATTCATTCTATAATACCTACTTTATGGAATAAGTATACTTATTCCATAAAGTAGGTATTACAGAATGAATTATTCTATCATCGGATGACGGAATAAACACTGGTGACGACATCTCTGTGTTTAATATTTAACAAATTTCAGACAAATCCAACATCACTTTCTTCCAATTAAATTATTTTTCTATTGTATTTTTTGGAAACATAGCAAAAGTATTATACTATAATAGTATGAAACACGTTTGGAATTGCATATTCCGGAATATGCCGTATTCCATACTTGTTACAGAATATACTATTCATGTAACTTCAGGTAATAATTATTCATCTAGTCGTCATTTTGTGAATTTTTATTTATCTTGCTAAACAAAGGTTTTAGATTATTTTTATTTTTCTTTCAATTTCAAAAAAGCAGTTGCTTAAAAAATTAAAAATATTTAAAAAAACTAAACTTTAAAATTAAATAAAATATGATAAAAGTTTAAATTTATACCCATTCTTTTCAAAATTTAAAAAAAACAAAGAACCGAAGTTTTTCTTTTAAACGTTTTTTTCTTATCTATGGTTTAAGGCTAAATAAAACTTATTAAGTAAAGTCAAGTTATTTTCATAGAAAAGTTTTACAATATATTTACATATAAATAATTTATAATATATTAAAAACAAAATAAATTAAAAGAAACCTATTGTTTTTTTATTATACATTATAGAAAGCAAAATAACTTTAATATAAATATTTATCTATTCTTATTACATAGTATCGTTTTATAACCATTTTAACCGCCCTGCCTAACAACGGGAATATTGAAATCACTATTTATAATACATTTATATTTATACATATATGTACGTTGATTAGTGATTGAATCCAGTTTTAAATTAAGACTTTAATAATATTAAAAATTAGTAGAAAGTAAGGTTTACCATCACACAGATCATCTGTCACAGATGTCAGATTTGGTTTATTTATTTTCGAAAATCATTTAATTATCTACTAATTGGAGTAGGTAAAGTATGGTATTACACTCTAGATTATGGGATGAGGATGAGTCAAGAGTCGCTAAACGAGAGATTTAAATCATTTGATTTAAATAATAATAATAAAATCTTTGGCGAGGTGTAGGTTCAATTTTTTCTTATTCTTATGAATATTACCAGTGATGGGTCAAGAAAGTTTCTTAAAGAAACTAAGAAAATTGAATGTTTAAATAATAAATATGTTACCGGTCACAATGACCCATAATTTTCACATGTCTTTTCTACAGTTTTGTTCCATACACATTCGTGAAGTTTGGCCTAGAATTTAAGTTAAACCCTTCATATATTCGAAAAATTTGCAAAAACTGCAAAAAATTTAAATTTTAAAATTGCCCTTAACTTGACTCGCACTCTTCCCACATTGGAGGTTCATGTGATTTCTTACACGTAAGCAGTTTCTTGGGTCAATTTGACCCAGTCAATAACAGTTATAGGTTAAAAAAGAAATTATGTTTCGGCAAAATTATTTATGATAAATATTCTTCAAATCTTCAAGAGTTCTATAATTAAAGCTTTATTATTATCAACACTCACTACCAAAGTATTTGATTATCTCCTAGGCTGTAAAAAAAATTTAGACCAATCAAGTGAAGTCTGTAAAAAATTCGATAGGACCAACAAAAAAAAATGATACCTGTGACAGCTCTGAGGCTATCTAACATCACTTTATACTTTTAATAATTTCTATTATAATTGTAAGTACGTTTTATTTATTGTTTGACAAATAAAACTGTGCCGTGAAAATAAAATGTTGTATGTCATTCGGCTGAGACGTACCTTTTCGTGCCTTGCACAATTGTAGGCCTCCGTTAACGCGTCAGACTTCAAACTTTGAGCTTGGCACAAAAAAATAAAACGTGTCAGCCTTATGACATATATAACTATTAATACCTTCGAATTTTGAATCTACTGCATTTTAAAATTAAGGAATGTTTTAATTTATTTTACTCATTAAAATCCGCCAAAAACATCATACTATTTCCTTCCTAAAAATGTTGCTGATCCAAATAAATTATAAAAATAAATTAAAAACTAGAGACAAGAATGAGCGTGATTTCGGTCCAATTTTTTTGTATATTCTGGTATTTTTTAAATATTTAAAAATTACAGATTTTTTAAAAGAGAATTAAAATAACAATTTAATAGAAAGTGAGATTTAACCTGACAAAAAACAAAGATACATAATTTAAATATTTCTTAAAAACACGTGGATTTACAACAATGTAAAAAACTCAAGTAAACTCAAGCCTTAGTGAAATTAATTTACATAACAAATTGATAAAATTATTATTTTTTATTTCGTTCTTAAGGATATTCTTACCAGGATCCTTAAAACCTAACTGATCGCGACCACTAACAGCTGCCCTAATTAAACAAGTCACTATCTAAAAATGAATTAGTCAAAAATGACTGTGTGACACATCTGTCTCTTTTTCAATGATACCCTTATACACACAGTGTGTGTATACAAGGGTATCATTGAAAAAGAGACAGATAGGGCTGAAACAATTAAAGCAGGAAATTAACAATTAAAAGGATGTAAAAGAAACCACTCTTTCGGATTTAAAAATAGAAAAAGAAAAAGAAAAACTTAATATATGTATTATATTAATAAACAAGAATCGACTATTTATTTTATTTTAATTTTAAATAAGTACCTATAAATTAAATAAAACATCAAAAATATTATTTACATTAAATTTTATAAATTCGCAAAATAATCTTGTATTAATTGATTTTGAAACATAATGCGATCTTGTGGATGAGTAACAACAGGGTATTTCAGTTAATGGCATTAATATCATCAGGCAATGGCGGCTTTGGTTTATTCATGTCTCTAGCAATATTATATAGTACAGCTGCAGCTAAAATAATAAAAAAAAACTGTATCTAGTTTTAATCTTAAATCATATGCCAACACTGGAAACCTTCTTTTCCAAATACTCTTTCTATTATATTTCTGGTTCTTAGTAGTGACTCATTATAGAGTTGCTGACCTCTATACCTATAACTATAGTTATTGGATTTGCTAAAGATTTCAATAAATAATATCTTCGAAAAAAAAAGATCTTGAATACCGATGACAAGGAGGTGACCGATGACAAGTAGGTGACCGATGACAAGTGAGGTTATAAATCGTTAACGGTGGATTAAAGTAATTTAATCCTCCGAAATTGAAGGTTTATTTTAAGCGTAGTTTAGTGGTATTTAAACAAGGATTAATTTACGGTGCAAGCCAGTTATGATAAATAAACCTTTGTTAAAAGTGGATTTAAATTTAAAAAAAGTTTTGACCCAGCTGGGGATTGAACTCAGGGCTGTCACCTGTCAAGCTGTTGTCAACCCTTTCGGCTGTCAGCCGCTCTTATAAAAATCAATTTTATTTGTCAATAAATATTGTTCACAATATTTTAAAGTTTAATATATTATTTTTGTTGCTCTTTTGAGCTCAACTTTTTGTATGTTTATTTGTTTTTATGGGTCATTTAACCATGGAGCTTAGGTATATGCATTTAATTCAAATATCACTTTGTTGTTGGCCGCAAATGATTAAAGAAATTAGTTACCTACTTTTAACTCTCAGAAATAGTCAAAGATGGTGACTAATCTTAAATTAGTCAAACTTTAACTATTTACATACTAAAAAATAACTATTTAAAAGTGAAAACGACTATTTTATTAGTAAAATATGCTGGTACTAATTCAAATAGTAGAATTTTGACTATGTCATTTTTAGAGTATGTAGAGCTGAATCAGTTGCAAAAGTTTTGAGATAGGTATAGTAATTTTTTTATATAATATGGAATTGACTTTACCTTAAAAACTGTTCTACTTTCATAATTTTTGACGGTATTTTTTAAATAAGGAGAAAAATTTACATAAGAATTGGCTGTTAAATGTCAGAGATAAAAATTGCTAATTAACTTAACATATTTTTTGCTTATCCACCCAACTTGTAATTACTAAAACTAGTACAAGAATCTAAATACGAATTTGGCAATTTGCTCTCCAAAAGTTGCACACATTAACGAGGTCATGATATTTGAATTATTAGTTAATCGGTTATAACAACAATATATTGTTAATTTCATGTATAGATTACGCAAGGGAATTATTTTGACCTAAGGCAATATAATCTAACGCGTTTCGGCCTCATTTAATCATTCAATCAAACTTAATCTCAATATGCCAATCTTGTTACCTTACAAATGGAGATATTTGCAGATGGCAAAATATGATAAAACATAATATATATATACCTATAGGTATTATATAAATATATTTCCTGTTTAGTTTTTATGATTCATATTAATAAAAAGGCTTATGCAAATGATTTGAAAAACAAAAAAATATCAAAATTTAAAAAATCATAAAACCACTTTTATAGGTTGTTTTTTCAAATTTTATTACTTAATCGTGTTATAAGTTTTGTACCCTAAAAATACTTAATAGGAATATGCCGCGTTTCCATTAAATTTGTGATGTTTGCTGCAGTGGTGGCTCGTCAGGGTAGGCTTCTGAGGCCGCGCCTCACCCATAAAATGAAGGAACGAACGACTTTTTGTATTTAGGTTTTTGCCTAATATAAGTGTATTTTTAAAACAGTTCTACCCAATAAAAAGTAAAAAACCAATCAATTATACTAAGCCAAAATAAAAATCCAGAAGCAAAGCGCGTCAAGTTTATGCGGTCAAACCCCCTACATCGTTTAGAGTCGGCAGGACAAAGTCGAATTATTCACAGCCTCGGAAGCTCCTATTTAAATGCGAAATATATCATACAGCCAAGTTTGCCGCGAACTGTTCGCGATTTTCTATTGCTTTGAGGCGATATGATATTAGCTTAGATTGTTCTGATTGGTGGTTTTATCAGATGACCGTAGATGATTCCGTGTCATTCAAAAGGTGGGGATTTTAGTGTGCTTTCCAGTATAGAGTAGGTGTTATTGTTCTTGTTTTGATTCAGATTAAATTATTTAAAACTTTTGGCTGATCTTTTATAGTTTTTGTCTTTAGTGTAATTTCTTATTTTATTATTGTGGTGCACTGGGGAACACACTACACAGATATGATTTACCAGTTTTTATTAACCAACAAGTTGTATTGAGTTTTAATTAAGGTTAGGTTTTCAAAATTTTAAATGAATTCTGTTCATGACGTTATTCTCTCAATAATTGAAACGCAACGAAACTGAAAAAAGACAGATATTAGGCACATTCAATTCTTATGTTAAATAATCCCCTAAACCAAAAAATGTCAATGTCAAAAGTTAAAAAAGTAGAACAGTTTTTGAGATATAGTCAATTTTCCATTTAATATGGAATTGACTATGTCTCAAAAACTGCTGCACTTTCATAATTTTTGACGGTATTTTCGGATTCAGGGGACAATTTTACAAAAGAATTGATTGTTAACACTCTCTAAAATTAATTAGTCAAAAATGACTAATTTAATAGTTAATAGTGGCTGTTTTTTCACTTGCACCATGTTTAACCATGGAACACCATGGTATCCCAAAATTTAACAATCAATTCTTTTGTAAAATTGTCCCCTGAATCCGAAAATACCGTCAAAAATTATGAAAGTGCAGCAGTTTTTGAGACATAGTCAATGGTTAAACCATTGGACAATGTACAGCCAGTTCAGAGTAAAACCGAATATATCTATATATATATATATGCGGCGTGGCCTCGCCTCCCTCCAAGGCGCGTCACAGTAGCTTGTATGATAAACGACAAGACGAAAGGTCGAGCAGGTAAGACGACGAAAAATTAAATGATAATAATGCAAAAAATCTCATTAGCGATGCAGGCTATTTGCTTAGCTACTGTGTCGGGCGTTGGAGGGAGGCGAGGCCACCCCCCCTATATATATAGATATATTCGGTTTTTCTCTGAACGGGCTGTATGTATACTTTTCTTATCTTACTTTTTTTTACCAATACTCGATTCGCAAAGTCAGAGTCTCCGCCAATTTCAATTCTACATCGCTTCCCGTTTGATTTATTTATGCGAAAACGTTTTATTTAAATATAAGTGTTTAAAGTTAAAACAGTAAAGTTTTATTTTAAAGTAATAATATATTACACAGTACAGCACGATTTTCATCCCATGAAAAATTTTAACAGATTTTAAAAATAAAGGTTAAAAAAACGTCCCTTGTTCCACGAAATCACGTCATTTAATTTTTTTACACAGCCATTCTTATTATTTTAACCTAAACAGGTTTTTAATTCTCTATTTTGTTATAATGACGATTATATACATTGCTTTCGAATCTATAGTGGTATCACAACCTAAAAACACCAACAGGGTGTTTCACATTCGTGGTCCATTGGAAGTTTCTGGAGAACGGAAAAAATATAGATTTGAAATTTAAAAGCGTTTATAATCCATTAAGTCTATTTTTTTTAATATTTTGAACAAAACGCAACTTCCGGTTTGACCGGAAGTGACATCAAATTTGTTATTTCAAATAGAACACCCGACAAGCCAGAGGTGGCATTTTATTTAAAATATTTTAGTAAACTAGGCTTAATTGGATTATAAAAGCTTAAAAAATTTCAAATCAATATCTTTTGCCGTTCCTCAGAAACTCTCAATGGACCACCATGTGCAACACCCTGTATAGGATTAAAATAATTTTAAAATAAATAAATAATCTTAATGGTTGTTCATTTATGCAGTGAATAAATTTTGCAGAAAAATATACTGTCTAGCTGTTATCGAAGCAGTTATATTATGTGCCGAATACCGTGGATAACATTTTATTGGATCGCACTTAAAAAAATGACGTGATCCGAAAAAACGCCGAAACACGGGTATCATTTTTTTAAGTCTATTTTCAAAATCTATAGAAATTTTTCATGGGAGGGAAAAAAAATCAAATTTTGTCGTATTGTGTTATTAAATTATTTCATATAATTTATATATACTCGTATAACACTGTTATATATATAAATTATATGAAATAATTTAATTAATAGTTAGGTACAAATCCATGGAAATTTGTAAAACAACCCAGAATACAAATCGACGTTCTTAAATAAGAAGATCGTATCTCAATTTTTGGCAAACCTTAATTAAGATCATTTCCTCATGAAAAAGTATCTTCTTTATCAATAAAACGTTTTTTAAGAAAAATTTTAATAAATGTTTCTTTTTCAAATTTCAAAAAAAAAAGATTATTATTAATATAAAAAATTGGTCTCAACCAGTTTTGCCAAAAATAGAAATCGAGATCGAGAGTCATCTGTTAAATATTTTGTAAACCCTAATAAAAAACCGGTGTCTGTTTAAAATTTCATATTAGGTAAACCAAACGATGTCGAGCTTAACGTATTCTGTTTTATTATTCAGTAACGATCCAGGGCCAGGACAACTTTAAAGGGTTCCTGATCCAGGCAAGAGATGTCGCGACCAACGAATGGATAGGAGAGTGGGTGGAATCTCCAAATACTAAAGTCCATCCAGAGTGCAGCGCCATCACTCATGCAGATCCTAAACCAAAGGCCCAAGCAGTCCTGCTGTGGCAAGCCCCTAAAAACGGACAACAAGGACAAGTTTATTTCACGTATGTTATTTTTCATTTGTTTTTAGTCTAAAAGTTTGTTTTAAGAATTTTATAATCATTTAATTATTATTTATTTTTATTTACCTATACGTACCTAATAGGTAACAGTTTTATTTTTTTAAGATTAAACATAAATCCTTTGGTATAAAATAATTCATTTTAACACAAAACTCGGTTGAACAAATAAAAGCGAATGAGAATGTCTACTTTTCAAACTTTCCGAAATTTTCTAGGCGCATTACACCGTGTCATTGACACATACAGGCGAGCGGGCAGTAAGTGCGGCACGCAGGCGCAACATTTTGGAGGCGCAAAATCAAAGGGTCAATCAGTACTTTGTAACGATAAACTTTCTTGCAAATAAACAAATACTTAAACATACATACGATAAAGGTTACCGCCTTTACCGCCTTTCTTTGTTTCGGCCGCATTAAAGCCTTATGCCGCTCTTTTTTTCGGCCGCTATAAAGCACCTTTTGCCGCTTTAATATTGGCGGCTTAAATTTTATTTTAATACGAGTATCAAAATAAATGGAGAGAAATTGTCATAATATTTTTAGTATTTGTTTGATAGTGCATGAACAGCCAGTTGTAGTTATTATATTGTTTATATAGCTTTTTTGTTTTCTTCAGGGTAGGGTAGAGATACCAGTCGTCGACCGGTTAGAGAGAACTTAAAATAGAATCTGCTATATTTTCTATGGTTATCTATATAATTCCTCTATATTATTGCAGAATTCTATTTATATTGTTTCTTTGTTTTTGGGTTATAAGAGGGCACCACAAGTGAAAAAATTATAATAATTCAAATATAGTCACTTTTTACCGCTAGTCGGACAGCAAAACCTAGTAGTCGGACAATAAGTGCCTAGTGTGCGACCTACCCATTTTTCTAACATGTTTTAGGTGCGTTTTTGAATAAATTTAGAAAAATAATATGAAATAATGGTACAAAACATTGTAAAATATTTTATTTAAACAACAAAATATATTCTTTTCCATAAAATAAATTTTAGTTACAAACGCAAGAATAAAAAAATTGGTACCTACCATAGAATGGGGATAGGTACTTTGAATTTTTTTTTAACGCAACAAAGAGAATTCTCTAAAAAAGTAGAAATAAAGTAAGTGCCAAAGTATCCCCATTCTACGGTAACCGAATAAAAATGCAAAATACAACACATAACACTGAAGACTTGTTTCAGTGTGTACATTGAGAACAAGTAAAGTCTTTGCCAAAGATTTCATCGTACAAATGTCCTTTGAACGTTGTACATTTCAAATGGTACCAACGGGTGCATACATCGCAACCAATATTTTTTAAGTCATTTTCTTCTGTGTCACTTATTAAATCAATATCACATGAACTACACTTGATTTTATTATCTTTTTTTGATAGTTGTTCATTTTCATCTCTACTTGATACATCTGATAATAGTTCATCAGTTTTATTTCTCCTTAAGACATATTTTCTCTCCTTCAGTTGATTGTTATCTGGTATATTTTCATCACTATAATTGTTTTCTGATAATTGTTCATTACTTGCTTTTAGCCTTTTTGTTCTTTTCTTTGTCATTTTCTTTGCATTCTTCTTTTTTTGGATTTCCAGTTGCTTTGCTTCCCTCCTTTTTTGTGATTCTTCTTTTCTAGATCGAACAGCATCAATTTTTCGCTGCTTAGCATCTTCTTTTTCCTTCTCCATTTGCCGCCACATTTCAGACGATATTGCACTTGGCATTTTTGGTGCGTTTTTGTTTTTCTTGCCTTTCAGAATTGGCTTTGGATAAAGCAACACTTGGCTTATATGAGAAATTTTTGGTGATGGAATAATACTTGATGAGGCAACTTGTGGTAAGTCAGCCTCGTTATTTGATATGGGCACAAACTCATTATCTTGTATTTTCAACGATTTTACAGTTTTGTAATCTGGTATAAATACAAACTCTTCCAATAATTCAGTATTTGTTTCTAAGGATTGTATAGTCTCTTGCATTTCCTGTGGTGGAGCAATTAGAAAACCGGCCTCATCAATATCATACGTGGTGACGGATAGATCGTCTGTCAAAACTAGAATATCATTTACAGAGGTTTCGGGTATTGGAGTATTTTCTTCTTGTTCAATGTTACCCGTAAGGGAACGTTTTGATTTGGACAACTCTTCAAAAATTACTTTAACATCAACTCCACGGTCCTCCAAACTTCCCTGAATGTGCTTGATGGTTTGTTCAGTAATTTCAAAATTGGCGATAGACGGAGTGTTTGGATCAGTAATGGTATTGTATTGATCACACACATTTCGTATAATCCACAGCATTTGGATCGTATGGGAAAAGACCACATCTTCTGAATCCATTTTTAATAGTTTGCGGTAAATTCTCTTTTTCCAGGACCTTTTTTAAAAGTGGACAGAACTTTGATTTGGTTAAGACTTGGTTAGTGTTTTCCTCACATATTTGCCACTCTCTTACTGTAATCTGCCATTGTGATTTAAGGGCAGCGTTGCCAACCACTGAAGCGTAATTTATCGTACCAACACCCAAAAAATTATCGTTTTCTAAATAAAATTATCGTACACGCAAAAAAAACAAAAACATTATTTTTCAATTTTTATTCAAGTATAACAAAATCTAAATCGTCCGGTTCTACGTCATTTTCTACATTATTATTTTTAAAAGAATACATGGATATTTTTAATTTATCAACCATAGCTTTAGGTGGCGAAAAATCTTTACAACCACCATTTTTAGCTATGTGTTGGGCAGCAAGCAGTGTTCCATTTATTGTTGGTGTAATTAATTTATTCCTGCATTTAGTTTTGATCAAATTAATTTTACTAAATATTCGCTCACACTGAGCATTAGAATGTGGCACACTTAAGATATTTGTAGCAAATAGTGATAAATTGTGGAACAGTTTTTCGCCTCCAATATTCACCAAATGTAGTAATGCCGCCCAAAATTCATCTACTTCCATTTCTGGGTTTGTAAATTGCGCAACATATGGACACAAGGGTAATGATCTCCATTGGTCATCAATAGCTTGCCATTCCGTTTCTTTAGTAAAAATATTAAAGCGAGTAATAAAAGGATGTAGGGAAGGATGCTGTTCTCTAAATTTTAAAGAAAGTGCATTTTTTGGCAGCAAAATCGACATTTGTTTAAAAACTGAATCTTTGAAGTCATACCTTTTTATAATTTCAGAACAGGCTATTTTCAGAAAATCTAAACATCTTTTATAAAAATCGTCTAATAACTCTGGCTGTCCCTTAAGATCTGCATTGCTTTCAATATTTCGCATCACATTAATTCCTAGGTACATAATTTTTTTTTTGAAGAAAATATGTCTCATTGCACGGATCTATTTCAGAAGTGTCCCTGGAATTTACATATTCGCTTTTCATGTAGCAAAGTAGTAACTCCCTATAATGAGACTCAAGTTTTTCATGCATATTTGCAACCAATACTTTTTCACTTTGAAAAAATAAATTTATAGTAGAAAATTTAGGGAGAACCCATTCTAAAAAATAAAAATACAACTTAATAAATGGATTTTTTAAAGAATTGTGAATTTGTTCTGCAGCAATCAATTTTTCATTCAACCATTTTTCATTAAAAAATAACATTAAAGCTGGCCATTGTTCAATAATTCGCGTTACAACACAACTTAAGGAGAGCCACCTCGTTTGTGATGGGTGTAGAATCCGGTGAATATTTGTTTCAGCAAAGACTTGGAATTGCTTGAGCTCATGTAGACGCTTTGAACTCATCTAGAATAAAATTGCAAAATTATTATTTTTTATCTCCCTAGTGAAAATAAACATGATTAACTTTAAAAAAATTATAAACATTCTGAGCTAAATCTTCACAGTTCCTAGGTAATGCTCTGCAAGCTTGACTTGCACACAAATGTAAGGAGTGACAAATACATTTGGAAATAATTATGTTTGGACAAATTTCCTTAAACCTGCTTGCTACAGAGTTGTGTTGCCCCATCATGGTATTGCATCCATCACTTCCGAAACCAATAATATTTGTTAACGGTATATTAACAGACTTAAATTCATTGATAATTTTTTCAAATAAGTGTTCTGCAGTCATTGTGCTGTTGCTATCTTCATTATCAAAACAAGAAACAAGTGCAAAAAATGAACTGACCACTTTGTTAATTTTCTGATCAAAAAATCTGACAACAATGCAAATGCATTTGTTAGTACTAATATCAGTTGATTCGTCTGTCAAAACACTAAACTTGCTAAAGCATAATAATTTTACAAGTTCTTCTTTTTCATATTCCCCAATAACATTACACACAATTGCAGTACCTTTGGTTCTTTTTATAGATATCCGTTTTGCAATTTCGGAATCTACAAAGGCACTTTTTAAAACTCCTTCCAAATGGTCTAAATTGTGAAATGGTATATTGTGCTCTGCAAAGTAACTGCAAATTTTAATTTCCGCTTCTTTAACCTGTAGGTCCTTCCTAGATTGATTCTTTTGAGATGAAAAAAAGTTCTGTAAACTTGTACTGGAGGTAAATTCAATGGATTTAGCATTAATTAAATGCTTTTTGGATTTCATGTGATTTTTAAAAACGGTTATTTCTGAAACCAATGACTTTTTACACATAATGCATTGTGCCTTTTTGCGATCCACTAAAAATACAAAATCTTATTTTTTTTTACTTTACATTATAAATTTTTGTTATTATACCTGGCACTGGTGCCAACCAATGCTTAAATTCTTTTAATTTCAGCCACTCATCCCTGAAATTTTGTCCTCTGTGCTTTGGTTTCGGTTTTGAACCTGATGATAACGTGCGTTGTCTTTTTGGGGATCGCGTTGGGCTATTGGAATTATCACTATAATCATCTTCCGATTCAGACCGCATATTTATGTATTTTTAAAATGTTATATAATCTGATTATAATTATAATAATCACAACATCAAAAAATAATTGCATGTATAGAAACGAATACGTTATTTTTTTCGAGTTCTTCTTC